TGGATCAAATCCTGAGATGTTCTGGATCAAATCCTGAGATGTTCTGGTTCAGGTCTGTTAGTTAGAAGGTAGACCCTTTATTGAGGCTTGCCAGGCTAAAGTTTCGCAGCATCGTTCATCGTTGGACCGAGCGCAGCGAATCGCCCAGTCAGCGCCTCGAAATTCCGAAAGCGCACTGGACAAGCTTCGCCAGTTGGACGAAGTTCGCGTCTCGTGCTCGTCAAAGACTCGAGCGTCGAGGCTTAACGAAACTCCCACAGGTCTTTCATGGGACAGCGAATCAGTGCACAGGATAGGGGTGCAGGTGGGTGGTTCTGAGAGTTCTGGTTCGGCAAAAATACTTGTCGGAGAGCTGGGGACCCCAAGTGGTCCGGATCGATTTACTAAACAGTTCAACATGTTTCAACCTTCTTGGCTTCAACCGTCTGACACAAAAGACACCGTACAAGGAAATGTTCAAATCACAAAATAGAATGTGTGTGTTTTTCTTTTAATTGGAGATGTTCTTAAATATCTGACAAGGGATCTTTGAGTGTGCTTGCTCGTTTATTTGTGTTTCAACATATCAAGGCTTGCAAAACACATGAACATCAAAGAACAAAACAAAACACATGAACATATGTACCAGCAGTCACAAAGGGGTGGTGTTTGGTCCCTAAGTGAGTGGATAATGGGCACTCCGAACCTCCATTAAGCTATATAGACCCTGCCATTACATCTACGTCTACGGTGCCGTTTGGCCTGAACCCTCGTTTCATCGATCGATGCTTGACCCTCTACCTGATGTAACAATAGATGACACAAGTAGTCTCAGAGGTTCGATGGCACAATCCCCAATGTGGGTGGTTTAGTAGTGGACCCCCATCTAGACATCTTGAGGGTTGTGCCATCGATCCTCTGAAACCGTATACACATTAAATGACCAGGATCCAACTCTACAAAGGGTCAATCCCTAGGGAACCAAGCTCGTCGTTCCACATCAGGACGTGAAACCTCCCAATGAAGGTTTCCTGTCATACATTGAAAGTCAAACACTGTCGATCAAAAGGACAGAGTTCCAACATCTTCTTAAGTTTTCGGGAGTCCCCACGTCTGCCACTGAAAAGACCACACCCCACACCCAGAGTATCTGAAGGCCTTAATCCTCTGATCTCGCATCCGAAGGCTTTGGGGTGAAGTCGACCCCCGGGTTCACTGGACTCACAGAATTCAAAGGTGTCGAACTGCGACTGGTGGCCACACTGCTCCGGTATCGACAGCAGCACCTGTGTCCAGGAGCGTGTGTCCGGCGTCTCCAGAAATGCACCGGTAATGGCAGCTGGGAGGCTAGGGGGTTATCAGAAGTCTTCAATTGGTTTCATGGTGTGTTTATAGTTGATGGGATGGACTGAGGGATACTCTTGGGGCTCCAACCCATTCCAAACCTCCGAACCGAAATGGAGGTACCTGGAGCCCTCACGGCCCTCTTTTTCTGAACAACATGACGTCGCCTCAGTGCAGCTCCTCAAAGGGTAGTCTTCGTCGATGTTATTCAATCTTTGCAGCTAGGAGGTTGCGTGCCACGAGAGGGGGGTCAACATAATGAGATTGATGATGATGATGATGATGATGATGATGATGATGATGATGATGAGGTGCGGTGCATCATATCATGGTGCCAAACAAGTTTCCGTAGAACACAGGGACCGGGCCTTGGGACTGAAATCTGCCCTCGGAAAGTGCTGGTGCCAGTTTTCTACGACGCCATCGAAATGGCAAAGTCTTAGGCATGGGGAAGCTACCCCAGTATATGGTATTTCTTGAAATGGTATATCAAGATACTGGAAACTTATCACAGAGTATTTCTTGAAATCACCATGTACATATTATATAATGCCTCCTCAGAAGCTTACTGTAATTTCCGGAATCAATGTATGAAAGCAAGGGAGGGGAAGGTGCCCCCAGGACGCATACGTTTTCTCGAGGACATGTATGCAGGGGGTGGGATATCAATTCCCGTCATATCATCGACCAAACAAAAATAGTAATGCATAACAATGTACAACATGCTTTCCTGGGAATGAACATCCAGAGTGATGAGGAAATGATATGACATTATTTAGAGCCGGGTGATCATAATACTCTCATGTATAGGGTCATTCCAGACTACGACGCATCCCACAGCGCTGTTCGGCCATGCCTGAGGAATTTCACTGAACTCAAGCTCTCCAGAGTCAAATTGCTCTCCTCAGACCACGCGGTCTAACACGCGGAGTGCGGAAGAAGTGGAGCTGAACGTGGTACCACAGTATAGACTCTCCCATAGACCGTACCCCAGGTTACGGGTCCTATTACACCGGTTGAAAAATTGTTGGCGCAACTCAGGGGTAGCCACCATAGCCATAGATGGCTCAACACCACATGTCAATTTGAATCATCTTTGAGCTAGGAAGCACATAAAACTGTCGCAAAAAAAATCATTAATATTAATGAAAACTAGGGCTGCAAAATCTATAGATGGCGCATCCCAAAGCTCTTTTTCTCCCATCCCAAAAAAAGAACGTGGCAAGCAAACACAAGGACTGCTCAGGAATCTGGACACTGAAGGAGCGTCCAAGTGTTGCTGAAAATGGCGCAGGGCATCCCTGCTCGAATTCATCTTAGGATGAACAGGTGCACTCATCGCAAATACAAAGGTGTTTGGGAAAAGGTGTTTGGCATGCGATTACAGTCGAAATTACAGTATAACCAGGTGCACCCCTTGCCATTGGAGTAAATTCAATGGAAATCATGCTGTATTGCGCCATCTTCGATGTGATGGTCAAGTAAGCTCACGAAGTCAGGTGCACTCCTCGCAAATACAAAGGTGTTTGGGAAAAGGTGTTTGGGATGCGATTACAGTAGAAATTACAGTAGAACCAGGTGCACCCCTTGCCATTGGAGTAAATTCAATGGAAATCATGCTGTATTGCGCCATCTTCGATGTGATGGTCAAGTAAGCTCACGAAGTCGGGTGCACTCCTCGCAAATACAAAGGTGTTTGGGAACAGATGTTTGGGATGCGATTACAGTAGAATTTGCAGTAGAACCGGGTGCACCCCTTGCCATTGGAGTAAATTCAGTGGAAATCATGCTGTATTGCGCCATCTTCGAGGCGATGGTCAAGTAAGCTCACGAAGTCTGCTGGTCCCACAGCCATGCTATTGCTGCATTCAAGGCCTTCTCTTGGTCAACATATTGGCCAGAAGGCCCAAAGCTGAACCACTTTGAAGGACTCAAGGGAGCAGACCAAGCCTGCCAACCTGACGCCACAGATTCCCTCTTGCTGATCCTCAACTGAATTTTTGCACTCGAGGACGGCGGGAGAAGGGATCTGACATGCATGGGCGTCACGTTGAGGCCACGAGAGCTGGAACTGGTGCTAGAAACCACAAACGGAGCTTCTGCAGGAGCCGGTGATTTGGAAGGTGCCTCATGGACAAGTTCTTCCACCACATCAAAGTCTTCAGCATTCAACTCATGGTAGTTGTAGGGCACCTCCATCGGATCTCTGTGCAAGTCATCATCAGGTTCTCCCGGGGCTGCATCGTCCATAGCATCTGCTTCCGAGATCTCCCCTGCTTCCTCATTGGCATCATCACCCTGAGCATCTGGTTGGACAAGGTTCTCTGCTTCTATATTTGCATCATCTTCCGGAGGCTCATAATTTTCTGCATCACTGGGCGGAAGATCACCATCTCCGTTTGCATCAGGTCCAAAAAGTCTTTGGACCTCTGCTGCGTCCAATGCCTCAATAAGGTCTTGCTCATTGGGTTGCAGCAACTGACATGTCAACTGGCGGGCGTTCGCTTCTGATGGGAACTGCAAAGTCAGGTCCTGAGCATCAAAGTGTATGCAGCATAGCTCCTGCATCGTGTTGAGCCATCTTTGATTGCGCCATCTTTGGGCGACAAAAAGGTTTCAACAGCTTGTTTCTGAGGCACGCTCTTTGGTCATTATAGATATGGTATAGGTTATGAACAGAAAATTATTTGCTTGAAAGAAACCACAGTCCTTGACAGCTCTTGCAGGCGCATCTGGCTTCAAAGCCCTTAAATTGAAGGCTCCCAGAACTGTATGCTTGCGAAGAGCATCAGCAGTTGCTTCCCGGCCTGTCCTGCGGTTCAACACCAAAGTACTTCTGGCCTGAGGTGGATTGTCCGGATGCTTGGCCACGTGGTACAAAAAGTGACACAGCCTCTTCTCAACTGGAAACACCAGCGTGGCTGGCAGAAGAGCTTGCACACCAGGGCCATCTCTTCCATCAAGAACCCACTGCACCCGCTTTCGCTTCTGCGACCCCTGAAGGATGAGTTCTTCCAAAGATGGCTCATCGTCATTTCCTGCTCCCAAGATGGCGGACAGCTCCAAAGGATCTTGGAGAAGATGGCTTTGCGCCAGCTCCTCAGCTGTGATGGTGGAATTGGCCAAAAGCTCCTCTTCAGTGATATGGCCAGTGGTGATCCAAGCGCGGCCAAACAAGGAATTGGGGATTCTCTCCCAGTTCATGATGCAATCCAAAATTCCTCGAAGGCGCAATGACTGTCGGCAAGAAATCAGGAACAACATCAGACACAACGAACAATTTTCCCTCAGCTCCTTTCCCAAAACCAATGCTGCTAAGGCAGCAAAAGCGTTGGGTAATCCCGAGTACCTATTAATAAACACTCCCCAATTAAAAAAACACCACGTCCGAACCCCTAAATTCGGTTTATATTTGGTTTTAAATTGCCGCCCTTTCAAACCGCTACTAAACTACCAACATGGTCGATTTTGGTGGTAGTTTTTTAATTAGGTTCCCGAAAACTCCACCATGACACGCCGCGCTTACACCAGCAGGCTTTCCTTCCCTCAATGGCACGGACTCACGCAAACGCACTTGCCACCGAGGTCATGCAACACCGCATGGCACAGCGACATCACCTTTCGAAAGCTTTAGCTGTTAGTCTACTGAAGAATCACTATTCTAATGAAGGTTTTTGTAGGGGAAAAGGAAGCTTCGATCTGGCGGTTTTTTGCATTTTTGATATGAGTTTAATAAAGGATTTTATATAAAAGTTTCCTGGATTAGTTTTTGGTTTTGAAACTGTATCCAGGTGACCCTATTTTGGCCCCCCCGATTTCAGGGACCCCCTATTAGAAAAAATGCGACCGAGGCTGTTTTAATAGGGGGGGGGCCCCGTGTTTATTATTAGGAGGACGGGATTACACGTGTTGCGCCATCTTTACAAAAAGAATGCAAACAAACACTTGGAACTCCATTGTTGCAGATGACCACTGACAAACCTGCAGTTACTCGCAGTCAAGGCAAAAGAACATGGTTTGTTCTTGCGAGCTGCCATCTTCCATGCGGATTTCTTTCCGCACTTGGCCCGAGCCAGAAACCTCCAACCTGAGGTCGGCAGCCGATCACTTTCAGCTGAATCATGGATACAGTACAGCATCTTCCAAACAACTGCTGATTGACATCTGAGTGGCTTGTAAAACTCACTTCTGAAGAACAAGTTCTTGCCAAATCCGATCTTCTCCCTTACAGTGGAGTCGTTCAATCTCTTCAGGAAACCGTGAACCTGATCCTGCCAGGAAGCACAAGCAAACAAGGCGTTGCGCCATCTACAGCACCTCTCAGACTCTATGGCATAGGAGCAGGGCCAGAAAAGGAAAGGAGAGAAGAAGGAGATCCTTACAGGACTTCTGAATCAATGGGATGAACTTTGAGTGTGACCTCCTTGTTGATACCCTCAATAATGATACTCAGAGACAGATATAGATGGCACAACTCAGAATGCATGACCAACGGAAAGACACACGCAATATGCTGCGCATGCGTCTCCTGTGGCTGTCCATGGGCGGACCAGCCACCTGGTTGCAAGGAAGGTAGCTCTACGTTCATCTCCTCACTGAACTTCCAGCGCAGCAGAGCCATGCCTGAACTAGGTTGCGCCATCTACAGTAGAAAGAATCCTTCAGAGTAGTCTCTGATTGACAGGACAGAGTGAAAGGAATCCAACACATCACAAACTCTACGCTCTCAATGGTTGTCCTGGCCTTCTTTCCCCGAGAAATTGCCGGTGAACGCGTCGGCGACAAGCATACCACGCCGTCCATGTAAGTTAAACTTCTGGCGGCGTGCATCGAATGCGTCCTTCAACAGGCGGTGGAAGAAAATCACAGTGGATTCCGTATGCATGAAATGGCCCCCTGCGTCATTCTTGTGGATGTAGAATTTTCCACGGCCTTTCCTTGCTTGCCATCTCACTTCTGCTGTAACAGAATACACTGCTGAGAAACACAAGAGGTTTGCCGTATCCTGGTTGTTGCGCCATCTTTCAACATTTCACACACAAGGACTCATTGCTGCCCGGGTGCTGATTCATCTCTGTGATGAATTTCTGAGGAACGGCGTTAGCACCTACCGACACAAAGAGCGGGCCTCTGTCGCCATTCGCCCAGCTGCTCGCGCAAAGGCTTACGCCTTTGCGACCGCCCAGAAGCGCGAGCACTCGTGTCAAATTCTTCGACCCTCTCTTTGTCCTCTTCAACCGTAAGGTGCATTTAGGTTGGCGGTACCCATTGATCCAAGTCTGATCATAATTAAGGATCAGCGGTAGCGGGATCTGGCCGCGCTTGACAATGTTGCCAAACTTCTGCCTTGACCTGGGTCTGACTCCAATCCTACACAATTCCGTATACACTCCAGTAGAACCTGAGAACTGAGAACTCAAAAGTCTAAACTAAAGTACAGTAAATCACTGCGTGGGAAGCCAAAAGTGGGGAGAGAGAGAGAGAGAGCCAAACATGATTATTTATAGATGGCGCAACTCGGAAAGAGGAGCAAACAAAAAGCAGTGGGAGTGGCTCAACTACAGTATGGCAATAGCACTACAGTAAGTTGAGAAACGATGGCGTTACAGAGGTGGGGCCTTTGTAAATCTTTGGAGGCTGTAGACATGGGAGTTGTTCCATCTACAAGTCCATTGCTAGCAGGGATTGTGAAAACAGGATGCTCAGATTCCTGAAACAAAAAATACGGTTGTTCCTGGCGACTCCTGCATTTGTGCATCGTCGTATGGTAAGTAGGTTCCGCTTGCATTTGTCGCTTGCTTTGTGTAGCCACGGCCCTTGGAAAATTTCATCGCGACATGCCTGAAGTCTTTGGATTTGATATAGCCTGGCTCTATCTCCATCTGGTCAGCAAGCTCCTCCCA